GCAAAAGGAATAGTGCAGAGCATTATCCATGGGTGTAATCCCAACAAATACTCCCCTTTCCAACAGATGTCGAGTATTAACTGATTAAAAATAATCGCTTTTTTCTTTATTTTTCTTGCTGGATTTAAACCCAGGGAAAGCTTAACTGGGCTTACAGAGGAGCTAAATCCCTCACTCCCAGGAAATCATCAGCAAATAGAGCTGAAATCCCGGGATGCTGGGCATAATTCCTGCTTCCATCCAAGCTGGTTGTGCTTGGGAAGCCTTTGGGAGCCCAGGAGGAGCATCCTGGAGTGCTGGGGCTGGGCTGGGTCTCTGTCTCTCCCTCTGAGGGATGCTTTCCCTCAGGATCATCATCCCAGAGCGTTCCATGGAGCTGCTGCAGGGCTGGAGCCCCTCTGGAGCCAGGCTGGGACACCTGGGGGGGCTCACCTGGACAGGAGCAGCTCCAGGAGAGCTCAGAGCCCTGGCAGGGCCTGCAGGGGCTCCAGGAGAGCTGGGGAGGGACTGGGGACAGGGATGGAGGGACAGGACACAGGGAATGGCTCCAGTGCCAGGGTTAGATGGGATATCGGGAAGGAATTCTTCCCTATAAGGCCCTGGAATGGATTTTCCCAAGGATGTCCCTGGGCCCCTGGCAGTGCCCAAGGCCAGGCTGGAAGGGCTTGGAGCAGTCTGGGATAGGGGAAGATTTCCCTGCCCATGGCAGGGGTGGGGCTGGATGGGCTTTAAACTCTTTCCAAACCATTCTCCAATCCTGCAATTCTGTGAAAACTGAGACAAAACATTCCCAGCTCTTGAACTCCTCCCTGATTTTCACCTGTTCCACACTCCAGCAGCATATTTATTTTGGGATTTGAAAAAAAAAATAAAAAAATCACGTATTGAGCCTGGCTTTTGTATCAGCGGGGTGGGTTGGCCGACCAGCCTGGAAAATAAACCTTCCCAGCTGATAAGGCCTCTAGGAACGCCTGTGGGCAGGAAAACATTCCTGGGGTGTCCAGCAGGAATTCCATGGCTGGGCTGCCTTGATGCTGCTGCTGCTTCTTCCCCTTCCCATTCCACAGGTTTGTGGCTGGGGGGGATCAGAGCACGACACGAGTGTGTAAAAATAAATGTGAGGAATGCCAGAAACGCCGGGACAGGGCTGGATGTGGCTTTGCTGTGAGTAATAACCCGGCTCCTTCCCTCCCTCCCTCCTTCCCACGGCTCCCAGCACTGGGAATGGGAGCGATCGCTTCCCTGGCCGCCCTCATCCCTTTGAAGGAGCGCATTCCCAGCGGGAATGGGGATGGCAGAGCCGATAACCTCCCCGTGCTCCTCCCTCCGCCTGTTAATGATTGCCTTGGAGCTGGGGCAGACAGAGAAAGCTCAAAGCCTGGGAATTCCCTGGGACAGGGTTTGGGATGTGCCAGGGCGCTCCTATCAGCTTAAAAATAGAAAGAAAAAAATCCTAAAAATACAAGCCCAGAAGCAGAAATTCTCTTTTCCCCCAGAATTTGTGATACCAGGTGTTTCCTCCTTCTGTAGAGGAAAATAATTTCTATTTTTCTAACATTTTTCTATAATTTCTATATTTCTAATATTTCCTCTGTAATTTCCTCCTTCTGTAGAGGAATAATTAAGGCACTTCCATTGTCTCACTGGCAGAATTTGATGTCAGGTGAAGCTGAGGTTTCTTTTCAGAATCTGAGTGTCTGGTGGAGCTGAGGTTTCTTTTCAGAATTTGAGTGTCTGGTGAAGCTGAGGTTTCTTTTCAGAATCTGAGTGTCTGCTGAAGCTGAGGTTTCTTTTCAGACTTTGATGTCAGGTGAAGCTGAGGTTTCTTTCCCTGTGTGTCCGTGGGCAGGGATGTGCTGCCAGTGCCATGGGATTGAATTCCCCCCTGTGGGCATGCAGGGATCAGGCCTGGCTCATTCCTGGTGCCCACCTCACCTCCAGGGCACACTTTACCTGGAGCAGCACCTTCCCAATCCCCCTGGAAGGGTTTGGAGGGCAGGATTTCCCATGTCAGGCCCTCTGGAGATGTTCTCCAGGCATTCCTGAGCCACACATTCCTAATCCAAAGCTGGTTTGGGGAAAGCTTTGGGCAAACTCGTCTGGATCATCTCACAAGTGGTATCAGACACCTTAAATTGGGGGTGCCTCATTAAGAAATGCAAATTAGACAGGGCAGGCAGCCCTGGGTTTCTTTCCCAGTGCAAAGGCGTGGGTGGGGGTCCCAGGAGCTGCCCACTGTGGAAGAAGCAGAAGCAGCAGCAGCAGCAGCCCGTGCTCATCCCCATCCCAGAGCTGACCCAGCTGGAGAGCTGCCAGGAGCCTTTCCCTCGCATTAATCCCTCTCAGCTTTAATCATTACCTGCCTGCCCACCTCCCTCCCGCCTGCCTGCCTGGGAATGCAAACGGGGCTGGAGCAGAGGAGCAAATCCACAGGTCAGGGGTAATTCCCGGCCTTTTCCACCTCTGGAGCAAGTCCAGAGGTCAAGGACAATTCCTGGCATTCCCACCTCCTTCCTGGCCTTTTCCACCTCTGGAAATCCAGAGGTTGAGGATAATTCCTGGCCTTTTCCACTCCCTACCTGGCCTTTTCCACCTCTGGAGTAAATCCAGAGGTCAGGGGTAATTCCTGGCCTTTTCCACTCCCTACCTGGCCTTTCTCACCTCCTTCCTGGCCTTTTCCACCTCTGGAGCAAATCTACAAGTCAGGAATAATTCCTGGCTTTTTCCACCTCCTTCCTTCCACCTTTTCCACCTGTGGAGCAAGTCCAGAGGTCGAGGATAATTCCTGGCCTTTCCCACCTGTGGAACAAATCCAGAGGTGGAGGATAATCCCTAGCATTCCCACCTCCATGTGCTGGGAGCAGGTCCTGCCTGGGAACAGGTGCCTCTGCTGCAGCAGGTGAACCTGGCTCTCTTTGTGATTATTTTTCCAAAAAGAGAAATTTTTGATTCCTGGGGGATCCCCTCCAGCCCTGGAATGGGGAGGTTGGCACCAAGCTTGGGGTCACCACTGGACCTTCCCCGTTCCCAGCACTGAATCCTTGGTGGGCTCAGACCTCACCTCCTCAAAATTCCCTTTTAAGCACTTCTGATCCAGCTTTGGGAATTGTCCCACTGAAAATGAAGCTGTGTGGTACCATTGAGTTGGGGGATTGGGAGTTTTCCTTGTGATGCACAGAATAAATGGAATTTGAGTTTCAATGTTCACCTGGAGAGGAGCAGCTCCAGGGAGAGCTCAGAGCCCCTGCCAGGACCTGAAGGGGCTCCAGGAGAGCTGGAGAGGGACAGGACACAGGGAATGGCTCCCACTGCCAGGGTCACTTTGGGTCACCAAGCTTGGGGTCACCACTGGACCTTCCCCGTTCCCAGCACTGAATCCTTGGTGGGCTCAGACCTCACCTCCTCAAAATTCCCTTTTAAGCACTTCTGATCCAGCTTTGGGAATTGTCCCACTGAAAATGAAGCTGTGTGGTACCATTGAGTTGGGGGATTGGGAGTTTTCCTTGTGATGCACAGAATAAATGGAATTTGAGTTTATGTAATGCTTGGAGCCACTTTTAGCTTGCCACAGATCCTTCTCCAAACAAAGCCAAGGTTATGCAGCAAATTGCAGAGTGGGGATGGTTTATTTGGATGAATTTTTATTTTGATGTCTGCATGAATGGGATTCTCTGCAGATCCAGGAAAAACCAAGGATGACTTCATGCTCTCTTAAAAATTCATGCAGAATATATTAATTTTTTCTTTCTAAATGAAGTGTCTTTATTTTTCTTTAAGCTCTACTGCTGCAGGGGAGAGAGAGCACCGGGGAGGAGGGTCTGGGGGTTCTCTCTGTCCGTGCCCCAGCTGCACAGGGACTCCAGGGATTCTCCATCCATCCTCCCACAGCTGCTCCAGCCCGTCTGTGCTGGTGGGAAGCTGGGAGAGCTGGGGCAGGGTGATGATCCCACAAAGGCTTTTATTTTTTTCCTAGAGGCACATCTGGTGTGGGGGAATCAAATCCGAGCTGCCCTGAGCAAGTGTTCCTGGATTTAGTCATGTGAATCCCTGAACAGCTGGGCCTAGAGCAGGAGAAATCCTGTTTGGAAAGGAGGGAATGAGGGCAGGATGGAATTTCTGCTGCTCCCTGCCTGGCTGGGAGTGCCTGGGGCATGGTGTGAGCCCAGCCTGTGACCCCATCATCGCTCTCTGGGTGTTCAGTGCCCCTTGCACGAGCTGTGTCCAGACCAAAAAAGGACTGAAAATGACATTTGGTGTGTCCTCACACTCCAGCCACTGCCAGGGCCAGACTCTTGTAAATGAGGCTGTTGTGGTTGGAAAAGACCCCCAAGATCACCCAGTGCTCACCGAGCCACATTCCCGAGTGGGTCAGGTTCATTCCCAGCCACGTGTTTTCTGAACCTTTCCAGGGATGTGACTCCCTGGGCAGCCCCTTCCCGTGTTTAACCCACCCTTGGGTGCAGGAATGTTCCCGATGCCCAGCCTGGCCCTTTTCCCCGCTTTCCCTGCCCCAATCCCGGCCGGGGCCAGGTGGGCGCTGGGGCCGAGCTCGGCTCCCTCCCTGCCGGCTGCAGGAGGTAAAAATAACCGGAATGTAGGGCACAGCCTCTCGCAGAACTCCCGGGCGGCATTTCCGCGGCAGCAGGCACAGGGAAGGTGTCTGCAGCTGCTGTTCCAGGGCCGCCTGCTTTGGGGTGCCCCGGGCCGCTCCATCCCGGCCGGGCCGCTCCCGGGGGGCTCGGGGGGTTCGGAGCTGCGGGTGCCGCGGCACCGCCGGGCCCGGGGGAGCCTCCCCGTGTCCAGGGGGCTTTGAGGATTTTTTCCCTCTCGTGGAGAGAAGCGCGGCCGCGCAGCCCCGCCCGGAGCCCGGCGCGGAGCGGGCGGAGGCGGCCCCGGCCCGGCCCCCCCGCGCTCCCGGGGCCGCCGTGCGCAGGCGGAGCAGCGCGGCCGCATCCATCTTCCCGGGCTGCCTCCTCCTCCTCCTGCTGCTGCTGCTGCTGCTGCCTTCTCCCCATCCTCCTCCTCCTCCCCAGCCTCCTCCTCCCCCGCCGGGGCCGCGGCGGCTGCGGGCGCTGCCGGCGGGGCGGCGGCGGCGGATGATGCACCGAGATGGTTCACCAGGAAAACTGCTCCTACCAGGTGAGGGGCGAGCGCGGCCTGGCCCCCAGCCCCGACAGCTCCGGCCAGCCCCGGCTGGAGCCAACCCCGGTCTGTGCCACCCCCGGGGCTGCGGCAGCGCGGGGCCGCCGCTTGGGGTTCGCTCCGAGTACCCTGGGGTTCGCTCCGAGCATCCCGGGGTTCGCACCCAGCATCTCGGGGTTCGCATCCAGCACCCTGGGGTTTGCATTGAGCATCTCGGGGTCCGCATTGAGCATCTCGGGGTTCGCATTGAGCATCTCGGGGTTCGCTCCGAGCATCCCGGAGTTCGCTCCGAGCATCTCGGGGTCCGCATTGAGCATCTCGGGGTTCGCTCTGAACATCCCGGGGTTCGCATTGAGCATCTCGGGGTTCGCACCGAGCACCCCGGGGCTCGGCAGGCAGAGCAGCCCCGGGGCTTTTGTGCTCGCCGTGCGATGTTGGTGGGCTCAGCGGGGCCGGGGATGCCCGCATCCCCCTGCCCGCATCCCAGTGCCTCCCTGCCGGGATAAAACCGCTCCCTGGGAGGAGAGAGCCGCGGGATGGCAGTCCCGGAGCTGCCGCAGCGCAGGGATGTCTTTTTTAGAGCATTTCCTGCGCTTCCCACGTTGCTGCGAGCGCAGGATGGTGATTCACAGGCTGCGGGCTGCTCCTGGTTCCGCAGGAACCGGCGATGGCGGTGATCGTGAGCAGGCAGCCCCCAGCCCCGGGGTCCCCGTGTTTGGGGAACATCGGGATTATTTCAGTGGGGAAGCTCTGAGCTGGGCTGGGCTTGGGGCTTCGTTTCCCTCTGGAGAGGGGAGGGTGAGAGGATGGGTGTGGGTGCTGTGGGTGCACCTGCACGGGAAGCAGCTCTCCGGGGGCTCGATGGCACATTTGGGGACTCGATGGCTCAGTTTGGGTCTCGATGGCACATTTAGGGGCTCGATGGCTCATTTAGGGGCTCTATGGCACAATTAGGGGCTCGATGGCTGAATTAGGGGCTTGATGACTGAATTAGGGGCTCGATGGCTCAATTAGGGTCTCGATGGTTGATTTAGGGGCTCGATGGCTCTGTTAGAGTCTCGATGTCTCATTTAGGGTCTCGATGTCTCATTTAGGGGCTCGATGTCTCATTTAGGGGCTCGATGGCACCGGCGGATTATTAAATGCACCAACACCTGTCCCTCCGGCACGGCGATGCTGAGGAATGCCGTTGCCTCCGTGCAGTGTTTTGGAAAACCCCCATTCCCAAACATCCCCAGAGCCGGACCCTCAGCAAGCAGGGCCTTGCCCGGGCCAGCGCCCCTTCCTTGTTTTTCCTCCATTCCCGTGTTTCATTCCAACTTCAGGCCGTGTTTTCCAACAAAATATCTCAGATGCAAAATATCTCACCGAGGGAAAAGATAGCGAAACAGAGAGGCGCTGAAATGATTTTTCGCGGAATATTTTCAGTCTAGCAATTCTGGAAGTGAATTTCTATTTTGAACTTCTTTTGAAAAAATATCCTGGGGGTTTTTTCGTGGTTTTTTTTCCCCAGCCTTTTGATTTCCCTGCACTGCGAGCCTGTTGCTCTGGACAGCCGGGATAAATGGTGCCATTGTTTGGGAGCAGCGGATGTTTTCCCAGCATACTCAGGAACGCACGGGTTAAAGGTTGGGCATTGTTTCCCGGCTGGGAGGGCTCCGGGGGGTGGGATGATGATGGTGGTGATGATGATGGTGGTGATGATGATGCCGAGCTGCGGCACGGGCCTGGCCAAGATCCCTGGGTGTTACTGCGCCAACACTGCCGCCTTTCCCTGCTCCCAAACCCTGTTATGGATTGGTTCCTTTCCTCCAAACCCATAAATATTAGAGGGGAACCAGCCAGAAACCACCCAAATCCTAAGGAAAAAAAAATCCCGGGAAACATCTTTTCAATGGAAGTGTGTTTCCAAACCTTCCTGGGGTGCTGCAGGGATTAGAGCAGCCCCAGCCCCCTCCCAGCCCCATGAACCCAAGGCCGAGCTTTAATCCTTTTGTGGACGGCAATCCCGGGCTTTGGGATCACAGCAGTGATGGGATTGCTTTGGGATCACAGCAGTGATGGGATTTCGTGGCTGCCCTGGGAGGGGGTGGCAGTGTTTGCTCTGCTCTGCTCCTTCCCCACACCCCTTTTCTCGGAGCTGTTAAAGAAACCAAAAATAAATCAAAGACGGGAACAAGTCAGCGCTTGGGAAAACTTGAAAATGGGTTTGTTTTGGAGAATTCCAGCAGAAAATCTCTGCCGTGCCCAGGTCATGGCTGGGCCACCAAATCCGTGGCAGGGAGGGAGCTGGGATGGGCAGGGGCTGAGGAAGAGGAGGATGTTCCTGAAATCCCCGATCCCCCAGAGCTGAGCTGGCAGTGCAGGTGGCCCCGGGCTCTCCTGGGGTTTGGATGTGGTGTCAGGTGAGTTCCTGGGATTTAGGGTGGCTCTTCCATGGCCTGGAGGCCCCAGCATGTGCCATCTTTTCCATGGATGCATCCTGGAGTCAGGCTGGAGGCTGCCACTCTCTGTGCTGTGGGTTTCTTTCTTAATTATGCTTCTTTTCTTATTTATTCCAGTTTATTTCCCTGTATCAAACATTTTATTTAGGCTTCCATAATTCCTCCTGCAGTCTGCCCAGGAAAACCCTGGCTGAGTGATGTTTTGTGAGCTCCTGAGCCCACATGGAATAAAAATCCAGCGTGCAAATCCCGGCTTCAGCCCAGAAATAAAGGTTTTATTCTGCTGGGTGGCTCAGCTGGGCTTTACTGGCCCTCAGCCTCAGGCAGGCCTTCAGTTTGCTGTGTAAATCTGTGTTTTCAGCAGGGCCTGACAGCTTCAGGGAGCAGTGTTGGGCTCCTCAGCCTCCTCCTGCTTTAATCCACGTTTGTCACCGTTGCTGTACAAGTGGGTGATGTGTCTGAATCACGGATTGTTGAATTTCTGGTGAAAAGCAGAGAATGGGGGGCACCCGGTGCTGTGCTTGAGGCAGGAGGCTCCAGTTGCCCCTGGGAACAGGATTTGGCTCCGTGTTCTGGCACCAGGCAGGGCTGAGCTATCTGCTGGCACCAGGGCTCCAGAGATGGTTCCAGGCTCCACACGTGCGGGGAAAATTAAAAAGAAAAAGAGACCTGAGGAGAAAAGAGATTTTAGTGGCCTAGAGATCACCCCTGAGGTGGGGCAGTGGTGGGGCCTGGTGGGTTTTTCAGGGATGTGGGATGTGTCCAGGTGTTGGGATTGGCTTTATTTGGCTGTTTCTGAGAGGGATCTGTTGGCAAGGAGGTGCTGGTGCCACTTTGGATCAGGCTGGAAGTGCCAGGGATGAACCAGGCAGGGCTGGATGCCCCCCACCCCTCCCAGGATCCCAGAGAACCCCAGAATTAATCCATAAAATTCACAAAATTATTGGAGGCTTCATGAGTTTTCTTTGGTTTGGTCTCAGGAGGGGTTTGGAGGCTCCAGAAATCAGCTGGTACCATATTTTTCTTTAAAGTGAGTGCAAATTCTGGTGGCAAAATGTAACTCCAAGGGACAGGCCTTGGGAAAACCTCAAATTCCATGAGAATCCAGTGTGGAGAAGCTGGAGAGCTGCTGGCCTGGCCCCATTCCATGGAGAATGCTCCAGGCTGGCACAGCTGAGGAGGCTCCGTGGCACTGCCCCACATCCCACGGCAGTGACAATGAAACAGAGCCTTTGTCAGGAGCTCTGGGGCCTTGTTCAGACAGGGATCCCACAAAAAGGCTCTGCCAAGAGCTGGAAAAGCACGTGGGGTGTGCTGAGGCTCAGAGAGGCATCACCACAGGGAGGCCTTGGGCTCAGCTCATCCCCGAATTTTACAAATTGCAAGAGCCCTGTGCTGGGAAGGGACTGGTGGGAGAGGTTTTTTCCAACACTTGCAATAAAATCGAGGTTTTGTGGCATGGAATCACAGAATGACAGAATAATTTGGATTGGAAGGGGCCTTAAAGCCCATCCTGATGTGCAGGGACATCTCTCACTATCACAGATTGTTCCAAGCCCCATCTGAACTGGCCTTGGGCACTTCCAGGGATCCAGGGACAGCCCCAGCTGCTCTGGGAATCCATTCCAGGGCCTCCTCACCCTCCTAGGCAGGAATTCCTTCCCAAAATCCCACCCATCCCTGCCCTCTGCCAGTTCAAAACCATTTCTCCTTGTCCTGTTCCATCCTCTTGTAAAGAATTTCTCCCTGATAGTTCTGGCACTTGACATTCCAAGATCCTGGAGTTGACCTCAATCCCTGAGTGCCCCATGCCCATGAATTTGGCACCTTGGAGAGCTTTCCTTGAGCTCTGCTGGGAGTTCAGGGGTTCCTCTCCTCCCTTGGGATCCAGCAGTGTTTGGGAGCTGATCCCAGCAGGAATGGGGAATTCCTCCCCCTCTGGAGCCCACCCAGCCCCGAGGGGGATTTCACTGGCTCCAGCAATGCTTTCATGCTCAGGAAAGGGGAATTCTGCTGCCTTCTTGTCCTGGAGCCATGGGCCGTGTTCCAAGCACCCCACACTCGCTGTGCCCCTCCTGGCCTCACCCAGGGATGATTTCCACCCTTCCACGCCCATCCTGGCGCTCCTGGCAGTGCTGGCTCCGTGTGCTCCCATCCCAGGGACCCCCCAAAATCTGACCTGCTCCAGGTTTAGCTGCTCTGAGCTTTCCCTTACTGCCTGATAAAGGAAATCAGGCTCTTCCCCCTCCAGAGAGGGAATGGGATCCCCATTCCTGGGGCACATGGAGCCTTTTTTGGGATGTTCCAACAGAGGGACAATGGTGGCTCTTCCCCCTCCAGAGAGGGAGTGGGATGGAGCCTTTTTGGGATGGAGCCTTTTTTGGGATGTTCCAAGCAGAGGGACAATGGTGGCCGTGGGTTCAGCCCATGGAGAAGAGGCTGAACACCAAAGGGTTTGGTCCCTGTGCTGAGAGAATCCCAAATTTCATTTCCCTTTTGATATCCCAGTTTAAATGGGCCTTTCCCAGCCCATCCCGAGGGAGCAGGTCCTGG